GTTTTGGGCAGCCCCATAAGCCAAGAAAATCAACAGGAATGCCCAACACAAAATATGAACATCTCTCTTGTGGTTTAAGGTTGGAGTTGATGGAGTGTTTTCAACAAGAAGTGGGGTCTCTTCATCCGTAGCCATTGAAGAACAATATACTCGGTTCAATCAGTCACATATTAACACCCACATATAAATAGACATATATACTAATTGGACGGGGGAGAATTTGAGCCGGCGAGAGTGAAGCAAAGAAAAAGACAGAGAAAAGGGTGGTCACGTTTAACTGTTTAATGATTTTGAGGGGACCCCAGCCAAGATTCTGAATCTCAAGAAAAGACAGGTTCAACTTCAGTCGGCCATTGATACAGAACTAAGCTAAATCAACGTAATGCTTGACACGGGGTTGACCAACCTCTCACGTTACATGTAGATCTCGATCTGAATTAAATAATGTCGACCTCTCCTCCCATGTGTGTGTTGTGTCATTCTCTACGTTAAACATTATGTTTATGTAGCAAAACTCATTGAAATATGTATATGCATATAGATATACAAAGGCTGGAGTGTTTTTACGAGATGTTTTGTTTGTGTGGTTTTTGTTGTTTAGTTCTTGTTCTGTTGGCAGTCCCGCGCATTTTCCTGAAAGATAAAATGATGAAATATATTTGTTTTTGAAATCTTTTTTAAAATAAATTCAAACTACTGTATAAAATTAGAACATACTCTCTATTTATAAAAAGTATGTCATAAATAAGAGTGAGCATCACCTTAACAACTCTTCATTTATTTATTTTTCAGATGGAAAAATGTATTTTGAAATAGTAATTTTTTAGAGAATGTGAGATTAAAAAATAAGGAAATATTTTAGGTTTATCTGTAATATTATTTTATTAAAAAATGTATGATTAAAATGAAGAAAAAGAAAAATGCATTAAAATTTTAATGGAGTTCAAACGGGAGCTACTGATTTCTCCTTATCTCTTATTTATAACATAATTTTTTATAAGTTAATTGTCAATTAATTCAAATATTATTTGAATAATTTAAATTGTAGAGTATTGAAATTTGCAACTTAACTAAATGCAATAATTGTTAATTAAGAATGGATAGTGAGTTTGACTATCCAAATTTGGAGAGCCAAACCCATTTTTTATTTTAAAAAGTTAAAACAGAGAGTTCCTTGTAACTTTTTTTTAAGCATCGATTCTAAAAAATAGAGAATAATTTATATTTAAAGAGTTTCTTAAAAATGTTATTAGAAGGTAGCTGCACAATTTTTTCGTCAATCAATAAAAAAAATCCACTATATATTTCACGAGCCTTCTTCATGCTGTATACAGAAAAAATCAGTTGTGTCTGGAAGATCAAACGGGTTCGGTTTTGTTATGAAACGTTAGAAGAAGCGAAAAAAACAAGGGAGGGAATGAATGCAAAGTTCCTGGATGGTTGGGTAATTTTTGTTAACCCAGCTAGGCCAAGAGAGGCTCTGCCTCGTCAACCTCCTAAACAAGACACACAGCCAAGTGCAACTGGCTTTACAACAAACTAGACCATTGGTTGCACATTGGCCGCATATCCACTCAGGAAAAACGTTGGCCGTATACTTTAAGAAAGAATTTTTTAAAGGGTTAATTTCACAAACGGTCACTGAACTTACGCAAAAATAACAAAACGATCACTGAAGTTCAAACATTGCAAAAACGGTCACTGAAGATTCATGCACTATCACAAACGTACACTGGATGACTGTTAATCCATTAATTCAAACATAAAGAC